GTATCGTCCAACTTGACCAAAACTAACACTGCTTGAGAGGCAATCCAAGTTCTACTCTAATGGTTATGATTTTTTTCTTTTATTTTTTTAGGACAGGTATGTTTTAGTGTTTTTATTTGAGTTTTATTTAGGATGAAAAGAAGCAAGGAAGATGCATCATAGATATTCGACCTTAAAAAATTTTAGGGAGTATTTTTTTTCCTTTGAGTTTCTTAATATATGGTTCCATTTAAGTGTGGGGGAAAAATAAATTTTTGTTTATTTAAACTCATCTTTTTTTCAGAACAAATTTGACTTGCTAAACTTCATTATGGTATTTTTTTAGTTGGAAATTATATATATATTCTTATGAATGACTAAAATATGATACGAAGTTTAAGTATAAATATAATGAAACTTGAAAGAACTCTTAAACATGTCTTTGCTTTGAATATGATTTTTATGCATGCATCTTTATTCTCTTTATATAAAATGCTATAATTTTTGTGAAGGTTTATGAAATATGGATTTACATGAAATTTAAGATTTGAATAAGTGTTCTGGAATTCACCTATTCAACCCTTGAAGCAAAATCATAGATTGTATTTGACTTAAGAGATGATTTAGGCAATTCTTTAAACTATTTGAGCCTTTTTCAAGCCCACCTTATGATCAGCATCCCTATAACCCTTATTGTTAGCCTTTATATTAATCTTTTTTCTTTGTTTACTTAACCACATTATAAGCCTAATAAGCCTTTTAACTATTATTCTTTCTTTTATTGTCCTAACCCACTGTACTTACTTGTTTATCAAAGACATAGTCTTATATTTGGGAGGAATAGACGTGTAAGGAAAGCATGGAAATTGGCAAAAGCAAAAGCAAAGCCTAATATAGCCAAAAATGGCTATCATTAAAAAAAATGCCAAAAATACAAAAAATAAAGAATACCTCACAAGTTAAAGTCTTAAAAAGAGCCCCCAATTAATTCAAAGTCTAAGAAGTTTAAAGAAAAAGTAAGCTTAAGGTTTTAAACCTAAAAATTTATTTTTTCTTATATTAACCCAAGCCTTACATTACATGTCTAAAAGACATTTTGATCTTAAGTTGAATATGTAGGTCTAACATTAGTGGAGAGGGATGAGAAAAATGGACATATGAAACCTATTCTAGTTTTAAATTGAAATATGATAAAGTGTTTTACATTCTATTTGCTTTAGTTATATGGATGATTTAGAGATGGAGTAGATTTGTATGTATGATTAGCATAAGTCATTGAAAGCTTGCTTTTAAAAGACATTCTCGTGACTCTATATTTACTCTTAACTTTGTATTATGCAACAGTACATGTTAACAAATTTTTTTCAAGCTTTGACTTTTAGGATGGTTATGATGTTCTTTAGTTTCGTTGATTTGAGATTTGCTTAAGGACAAACAAAGATTCAAGTGCGAGGGCGTGATAACACCAAAATATATATAGTTTTTACATATTAAAATGGTACTAAAATTTAAAATTTTATATGATTTTTGGTGCTTTTCATGCTATTTCCATGGCTTTAGTTTTTTTAAGCACAAGACTTATTTTTATACAAGCCATGCATGTAATCATACAAAACTCAGAGTTGGGCCAACCATGTAAGCACAATGCCAGCCATTATTGGTCCAAATTCAAGCATGCACAAGCCTAATTGAATCATAATCCATTCAGCCAAGGTGGATTTGCAAGATAAATGTGTTTTTTTTATAAGCCATGAAGAGAATGACTTACATAATGACACTATCACATTCAACCAAGTAAGAAGGAAGGAAAATTTACAAGCAATTGGACTTTCCAAACTCAATCTATTCGACTAAAAGGTGTTGGAAGCCAATTATGATAGTTTTGCTTTATCTTGTAAAGTTTTGACAAAATGAGGACTTTATCACTTTGAAAATCAAGTGTTTGAATAAAATGCAACTTATCTCCTCTTGAAAACTTAAATTAGCTGAACCAAGGGGTAGCTTGATCAATATTGCATCATATGAAGATCAATGGCCAAAATCATCTTATTCAGCCAAAGTATTTCAAAAATGAATAGTTTGATTTTGTATGCAACCTTAAGGATTAAGATGGAGCATTACCTCATAGTTTTTGAATTAACTTTAAACCTATGCCTATAAATAGGTAAGGCCATTCACTTGTTTCATCATCCCACTTCTCACACCTCTTCTCTCTTTAGTTTCTTTAGTTCTTTATTTCTTTTAGTTAAGTTTTTGGCTTAGGTGACAGATTTGTCAATAACAAAACTCTTGCTTTTTAAATTCTTTTTCAACAAAGAAGTATTTCATTCAAAGATCTTTTCTTGTTTTTAAGATTCAATTCTTGTTCTTGTTTTCTTTAAATTTAGCATAAGTAATCTTTAGTTTTTAAGATCCAAGTTTTCTTTATTTTCTTTGCAAGATTTGACCATTATACATTTTCTTGTTCTTTGATTTCTTTCATACAATCTTTATTTCTTTAAAAGCAATTCAATATTCTTAAGATTTCTTGTTTGCAATTTTTTATTCTTGTTTTATTATAGTTAGTCTTTGGCACCAATCTTTTACTTCCCAAGTGACATATGGTGAAATCAATATCTTTGCCCACATATCGCCTTTAATCTTTACTTGATCCTTGTAAGCTTAAAACCCTAAATTTCTAGTTGTTCAGATAAAAGATCTTAGCCTTTCATCTTTGGTTAAACAATCCAACATTCTTTTCTATAATCCCTGAAGAGATGATAGTGGAATACTTATTATTTGATCTTTGCAATTGCAGACTCTATACAAAAAGTAACAATCAATTATCATAGCCCCCTATGCATTACCTTATTGCATAACTCGAACCAAATATGGTGCATGTTTTTTTTTTATCCATAAACAAAACCTGATTAAAATAGTGACAAATATATAACATCCTTGAAACTTGTTTAAATTATTTTTTTATGGGGTTCACGAATTTGACTTTGTTTTGAGCTTTTAGCATAAAGGTACGTATAGTTTGGTTTAACAATGTTAATGTTGAACATGCAAACCAAGCCATTGTGCTAGACAAAGGTAGCAATTGGGCCAGAAGAATGGGTAGCGAACCAAACAACGCCAAGCGATGGCCAATGTTGATTAGAGATGGTAACCTAATTTGTACTTGATGAGTTCTAACCTAATTCGACCTCTTATAATTTTTGTTTTTTAAAAATTGAGTTTAGGGTTAGATAATAGTAAACAATTTTACAGTCAAATTTTAGATAAACTCACCTCAACCCATCCCGATATATAAAAAATTTTATTTTTTAATTAATTATTTAATTTTATATTTATATATATTTATATAATTTTTTATTTATATTAAAAATAATATTTTATATTTTAAAAATAATATTTTATTAATTTCATATCGGATAGGGTCGAATTGAGTTCGAGATGAATAAAAACCTACCCCATTTTGACTCGTTGCCAACCATAATGTTAATGTCGAAACTCAAGTTTGTTAAACCTCCATAACTTGACGAATTAGCAAAATGAATGAAATTTTAAATGAAATAAAATAGGAGATTTTTGGCGCGTAAATTTTTTTGATATACAAGTAAAATGGAAGCAAATTATCATTTAACAAAGGCAGAATAAGTATAATAGTTAAATTCTTTTCAGAATGAAAGAAGGGGTTTTGGATCCCATCAAAATGATTCAAAATTAATGTTATAGATAGATTATCTAACATTCTGTACATTCACAAACATTGGTGAACCAAGTACGAATGTTTGGCAGAACAAACTTGATAATCTTATTAACTTATCTTACATTCCCGCTACTAAACGCCCTCTAACATTGTTTGATAAAAGTGTAAATGACGTAGAAAATCCATCCAGAAGAAATACTTACTGTTACATTAAGACATTGCTACAGCCAAATGATTGTGATTAATCAATATCATTCTCTTGATAAGAAAGAATCGAAGCATTATAGAGGACCACGTATCAAGCATTAAAAGAAGTCGGTCCTCACAAAACAAGCTTGGCAAAACACGTGTCAGCAGGGCCAGTCTGGTCTGCCAAAAAAGCAGACCCAAAAGTTGGGGTTAGGAGGGACCACATCCGAGCGACATTAATCCCACTGATACTCTTCGAAGTATCCAACCCAACCCCAAATATCAGCGCAAAAAATTGTTAAAGATGATAACGGTTTTAAATTGATTTAATTTTTTAAAAATAATATATAGAATTATAAATTTGAAAATTTTAATTCAAATTGAATTAAATTTTTTAAAAATTAATCCGACTTAAATTAAATTATATTAAATTATATCGATTAAATTTATTTATTTTAAATTTTAAATTTTTTTTAATTTTTTATATATTACTTTAATAAAATTTTTTAATATATTTAAATAAATCTATTAATAAAATAATTATTTTTATTTTTTAAATATTTAAAATAAATATAAAAATTTATAATTTGATTGATTTTTTTTTCAATTTGTTATATCTCGAAATTTAAACTTAATATATATATTTAATATCTAAATTAAATTCAAATTAAATAAAAAATTAATTTAAATAAAACTAAATACTCCATTATGAATTAATTTTCAGTTTAATTTTTTTCTTACCTTTATAAATTTTGGTTTGTGAGGTCAGCATCCCTAGATACACATGCCTATATCACGTGACAAGTACCCGTGACCCACATGAAACCACTCGGTTAGGTCCACGGGCCACCCCCACACCCCCTCTCTATGCCTCAACTTTTCTTGTTGACCCACCATTAGAAAAAAGACCCACTGGATCCAACCACACGCGTCCCCAAAAGATGGGACCCACATTCCACGTGCATATCCGAATATCACGTGACCCCACCATCAGTGGGACCAAAAAGTTTTCTTTCGAAAAAACATTTCACGGAGAAAAATGAAATGAACAGTGAAGATGAAGATGGAAGAGCAGCCAACAGCACAGCAAGAAAAAGATTCAAATGATAAAAGCCCTTTGAATAAATGAAAACCCAGTTTTTTTTTGCAATTTTTCTATTGTCCTACAAATTACAAAATAAAAACAAAAAAACTACCCTAAAACCTCTAACTTTGTATCATCAAAATCAAGAAACTTAACCTTCTTCTGGGCTTAAGGCTTTGAACAAGGCGTTTGGTGATTTGCAGGACGACCCAAAAATTGAAGCTCTCTCTTGTCAAGAATCTCCAAAGAAAATTCCCTAAGCATCTGCGTAGTACTATTACTAGAACTATTATTACCATTACTACTACCGCTAACCCCAGTAACACTTGTACCACCTGAACTAGAACTGGGCACAACACTTGACTCCATCGAACCAACACTGGAACCCCGCACCTCTGGCTGCATAGCAGACACAAACCTAGATATTGGTCGACCTGCAACGTCAAAAAACGGTGTTGCAGTTGCTGGAATCGTCCACAACCGTGCCTGGTTTGAACCAGGCGCAAAATTAGCAGCAGCAGGAAAAACACCAAAAGTACCCATAGGCCATATAGGAACCAACCCTTGTGAATTCACATTGACGCTGCTATAAGTGATAGGAGCAATCGGTGCCAATCCTGAAGAAACCGAACTTTGATGCTCGTTAACGTCAATAAACTCACTATTTGATGGCCTCTTCCTACGTTTTTTTGGCAAGTCACCATCTTGTTTCCCTGAGGAAGTTGGTATCTTGACAGTGCCATTAACAGACACAGCAATAGCAGGGATCGTGCCTGTGCCTGTAGCTTCGACAATAGCTGGTTCCGCGCGTTCTAACAACCACCCGATCGTTTCACCATCGGACTTGTGACCCAGTTCTCTGGTGAGCTGAAAAATCCTGGCCGCACAAGTGGCAGGGATGCGGATCCTACGGCCACGGCCTTCAACTTTTGTATGACGGTCTGTTGATGGGCGTTTTGGGACAAAAGAGCGTTCGGTTTGGGCAGCAGGCGAGACTTGAACGACGGTTGGGTTAGTGAATTCTCGTGGCTCCGTGTCTGTTAAGTCTTCTTCTTTCATGGGTTGGTTTGGGTCCATTACGGTTGCCTCTGAAGGTGAGAAACTTGGGGTAGTATTGTTGCTTTCTTCTTGTTGTTGTTGTTTATCGATTATGAAGGTGTTGTCGTTGTTGATGCTCTTGTCGGTTTCATCTATGGTTTGATTTTGGTTGCACGCCATCTTTTACACAACAGAGGGATTATTAACCTATCAACAAACCCACAAAAATATAAACAGGATTAGCCTGAAAGACGAGAACATTTATCAAAGATTTACTTCTAAAGAGAGTCTAATTTCTAGTCAGGAAAAAGAGTTGACTGAGTTTTGAATTTTAGCTTGTTTTCGTTTCCTATCATACTGTGACAGAGATTAGAAAGTATGGGACATGTGACACAGATTATTAAATAATTAAGAAGAAAAAAATAAATAAAAAGGTGAAAAATAGAAAGGAATAAACCCTAAAGAGGCAGCCCTACCTTCTCTGCAGGATAAAGAAACACGGGGGCCCAAAAAGAGGAGTATTTATTTAGAGGGGAGAATAAATCGATGGCTGGTAGTATCCCTCTTCACTCTTAGGGACAGGAGATGGTGACACGTGGTGGTTGCTCTTTTTGATAAGATGTCCTGTTTCTGTGTTTTCAATTAGGTCAAAGTTGGTGATCCCCGAACTGATCTTTTACTCCTGTGAGAAATTTTCTTTTCCTTTTTTTTTTTTTTTAATTTTTGAGAGGGCTTTCCATACACCTGCTGTAACGCCTACTTTGGCGAGTAATCCTCGCGAGAAGTATTTAAATGAAAATTTTTAAGTGACATATATGAAATTTTTTATTAAAAATAATTAAATAAAAATTATAAATTATAAATTAAAATTGATAAATTAAAATATTTTGTTACATAGGTCAGTATGTAAAATTTTAATAAATTTTAATAATTATTTTTAAATAGATATTTTTAATAAAATATTAATAAAATTTTTATTATTAAATAAATATTGATAAAATTTGAATTATAAATAATATTTTTAATAAATTTTTTATATGTTATTAATTTTTATATCAAATTTTTTTAATTTATTAATTTTTATTTTTATTAAAATTTTCATTAAATCATTTTTCAAAAAATTTTTTATAAATTTCACTTAAAAAATTTGTTACTTTTATGCAATCTATAGAGCCATACGTAAAGCGTAAAGGCAAAATCCGACGGGAGAGGATATCAAAGGAAATGGATTGATTCATTTCTTTTCTTTTCTTTTTTTTGTTTTTTGGTCAAAGATTCAATTTCTTTCTAAAGTTTTAAAACTGGAATCTGGTGACTCCTTGGGTTCAAATGTCAACCCAAAAATGCTCGAGCTCTATTGATATAAACAATAAAAACCATGGAAAGAGGAGATTAAAAGGGTTGGTAGCTTTCTTTTGCAAAGGGAAATCGCTGTTTTATTCTCCCGAGTCACAACACTTCCCAAATGGATGGATGTCGACCTTTTTATGAGTAGAGGCACTACGAATAGTTCCAAGGCATCACCCAATACGGAGATTGCAACCCCGTACGATAAGTGGTTAGTCCACACTTGGCAGCAACAAATATCTATAATGTTCTGTAGAGAGGTGAAAAGGATAATAGAATTTACAAAACTTCAGTTAGAATGTGCATTTTGCAGTCCAGGCCGGGGATTTATTTTCCTTTGAAACTTTAGAGAAAGGGAGAGATGAAAGATTGGCCTATGATCCTGGAAGGGTTGCATACCATATCAAGTGCTAAATTTCAATATTAAGACTATATCTTTCTTGATTTGTAGGATCACTTTGAAGATGTCAATCCAAAATAATACTATTACATCTAATCCTGATAATTTAAAACACGACATGAAAACATGATTCGATATAAATAAAGAATTCAAAAATAATAAAGCTTAAAATTTTAAAAAAACCATAAATAAGTTTAATAAAACAAAAAAATTTATATTTTATATCTTTGTGTCAACACGAACTGTGACACATAATTTTTATATAAAACGTGACATAAATATCATATTTTACATGACACGAGATAACACAAATTATCAAATCTAATTACATCAGAATCGTTTCGATAGATGAGAGAATATAAAATAAGCCATCATATTTCTTTCAATGTTACCATTTGCATTTCAGCATACAAGCCAAAATAAAATCAATCAATACAAATCTCCAACGAGTCACCTTATCTTGCTAATTTGCTATGCCAGGACAATTTCCCTGTAAATACTTATGTGGTTTCCTTGGCATTTACCTCGTTAGGTTGTCAAGTGGCATTAGTTAGCAACAACCATTCTCACAGGTTGACAAAAATGGTAGTAGTAGCATTAGCCTTCCGAGTGTAAAATCTTCGGTACATTGAGTCAACTTCAGTGTGATAATAGGTAACTGGTAATAGGAGGACTGTTCTTGCTCGTGACAAAGTCCTTTGCTCCATATCTCTGCATCAAGAACTTAGTCTAATGAAAGTTGCTTCGTCATGTGTTGTTAATAACATCCTCTTGGCATTTTTACTTCATTGGGCAAGACACCTAGGATCTTCTCATAAAAAAAAGATGATGACAAGAGGATTATACAAACTATCAACAATTAGAATTATAATGCACAAAGTTACAAACTGTCATCAATTGTGCTAAGGAGTTCAAATCTGAATGGCACAAAAACAGAATAGACAGAAGTGAGCAGATGACAGATTTTGGGACAGAAACTGCAATCAAGTATGTTAAATATCTTACTATGTTCCTTTCAAGTGTAGATTTTCTGTCGTTGAAATGTGAATGCAAGAATACAAGAAAGGGGTATAGACCTCTGTTCCTCTGGCAATTCCAATTCCGTAATTAATTGGCTTCCAATTTTGAGTTGACTGCAGTCTTTCCGAACTTCATTATCTGAAAGAATTGATTTTAGAGCTTAGACTTCAATAGTTTTCTGATTCAGAGCTGTGTACCTCCACCGCTCCTTCTCCACGAAGTCTGCATCCAGGAACCGAGCAATGAAAGCCCAAAGCTTATAAATATCCTGAAAATTGGCTAGGAACCCCAATGCAGCTGTAACCACAGCTATTCCCATGTTATTTTTGCCTTTTCTCTTGTTTCCATCCGTACCTTTGGCTTCATTACTTCTTCTCTCAATCACTTCGTCCTTCTCTTCTTGATACTTATCTGCAAACCATATGTGGTGTAGGAACCCATAACTTAGAGAAATGTTGCTCCGATCTGCTAGCTTCTGTACAAGAACAGGTTCGATTTTTTCGCCCTTCCAATCAAACACATTGAATGCGATTGCTGGACCCCGATCAAATTTTATCTTTGGGCCATATATTCTAACCAGGGGAATCCCATTTGTATTAGGATGCTGGAGTTTCAACAGAGCATGCACAAGCCAATTGATGAGGCACCTTGCTCTATTACTAATTTTTACCTGTCCTAAAGAATCCACCTGATCCATACCCCTACATTCAATCTCTTCTTTGCCTTTACGATTATCCTCTCGAATTATATCAATAACCTTCTCTGATTCTGAAATTTCAGTCGTTTCCAACCCTTTCAGTTTTTCAGTAATTTCTTCATGTTGAATCTCGTAAGTTTTCCCTTCTTCAAATCTTTCAGACTGTGAAGCTTGGACAGGAATAGTAACTGAGATGGAGCTTGGTGTAGCTAATTTGTCTACTTCTGTGTCGGTGCCTGGAGATTCAGTTCCTGGACGAAACAGCTTCTCAGCTGGGATAAGACCTACCATCCCTGAACTGGTGGAAGTTTCCAATACCGGAATGGTTGATTTCTTGGCGAAGAGGCATGCGAATCCTGAAGGGTTTTCTCCAAAAACCTTGTAGAAAGAGCAAATGAGGAAGTCCGGACGAAAGAGTGAGAGGCCAAAGCAGTCCATGTCTTTTGGTCCCAATGCACACGCATCAATCAACACATGCCATCCATTTTCCTGTGCGATACTCATCCAGAGGTAGGGATATCTGGCTCCAGTCATCCTGGAATAAAGTGGGAAGACAAAAAGACCTCTTTTTTTCTCCTTCTTCTTCATTTCCTTGCTTACAACCATTTTTCTCAATTTTGATGCCTGAATTCTCAGCCTTGGCCATGAGAATTCAGCTGACATAACTCTAGCCCCTTTTTTCTCGGAGCTGTTGCTCATGGCTTCAATTGCCTCGCTCTCATAATCATAGACTGTTAAAATCTTTCTATTAGACTGGAAGGGGTATGATTCTGCTAGAAGTTTGAAAGCTGATGTCTTGTTTGCGGTGAAAACCATGCAGTAATCATTTTCTGAAATATTAAGAAAAGTCATGATCCTCTTCCTGATCGCAGATTCCAGCTCTGATGCTGGTCCACCATGTAGTAGTTGTGTCTTGAGATTCCCTGTCTTGTAAGTCACACCAAAGAAGGGAATAACCAAAATTGGAGAAGGTGATTGTGCTGGCACAGGGGAGGAAGAAGAGGCAATTCTGAATGTTGGAGACTCGTGTTTTTGTAGTTGAGAAAAGGAGAAGAGGCCGATGCCAAGATAATCAAGGCAGGTATGGTCGGAAAGCAAGAGATGGTAATACTCATGGGCTCGTATTTGGTCAACTTGATAGGTGTCAGAGTACTGTGGGTAAGCATTGGTGAATTCAGCAAACGATTCTTGCACAGATGGAAGAGATTCATGGTTGGTGAATTGGGCGTTTGGGAAAACAGAGGAAGTAGTTTTTGATGCAAAGTCACGGCGACAAGCTGCAGAAGTGCTGGTGGATTTGGAGGCTTTGCTTTGAGGCTCATGTGCGCTGGCAAAAGGAGATGGACAGCAGCCATGGAGGCATACTTCTGATACCTCTTTTTGGCAAAGCGATTGCATTTTTCTGTTCTCTTCCCTCATTGATCTTGATATTTTCTCATTGGTTTCTCCACCCTTTTCTTTATTGGTTCCTTTCAAATCAGCTTTCATGGTTTTGTAAGAATATTTACACCCTAAAAATTGATGCTTTAATTTGTTTTATATACATGTTTTTAAAATTTAAACAGGGTGGCTGACCAGTCAGCCGCGAGTGAAGTCATTGAACAAGTCAGTTTTCCAAGTTGACCTATTCTTCTCTATCCTATGTAGTTGACCTCCACATTTCCACACTTCAGGGACGTCTTCCCTCTTTTTCCCAACTCCTATCTGCCGCCTGATCTTCATTGTGAAACTGTCAATGCCACATCAAATCATTTTAAAAGATCGCATGGTGGAAATTCACTTATGTACAGGACCATTAACGAGCGGCGGTGGTCATGTTCATACAAGATCATATCTCTGACACATGTGGTTCCTACTGGTAGATGTGAACTAATGATGGTCATTCTCCTAACATAGATTTAGCAGTGATATGATATCTTTTTCATTTCCGGAAACAGAAAGCAACAACCAATGTACTAGTGGACGACATAACGGCCTTTAATTCCGCCGGCATTATCGATGTTTATTGTTGGATGAAAAAAAAAAAAAAAAAAAGAAGCCTCTTTAGAATGCATGGAAGTTGCTTCAAGCCAAAGATTTTGAGGTCCTAAACAGTTTTGTCCCCGTTCCTTTGCTTTGCCCTCTGCCTCAGCCCAAGGGAGTTTCTAGACGGATTGTGACTTTGGGGTCAATATTGTATAAACCAACAAAAAAATGCCTATCTACAAAATCAAATGTACGAAAATATAAGCTACGACTTCTAATCAAACATAATTTTTATTACCTTGCAATAATTATATTTAACTGTTTGTTTCTTACATTTAGAGTTGTAAAGTGTACTTTGGCAAAGAGAGTAAAGCATTGTTCCTTGATATTATCCCGTGAACTGCTGCTCCATAGAAATGTTGTTTTATGAAAATATTATTAGTATGTGAAAGAACTGTTTTGTAAAAATGTTATTCTAGTGAAATAACCTTTAATAGAGTTGTTTCGTGGAGTAATTTTTATCAAAACAATTTTATTATTTACTTTAAATTATTTTTACTATATATATGTGATAATATGATTCTTATAACTTTTAAAAAATTAAAAAACGAAATATTAATAATCAAAATCAAGTCTCTTTTCTGGTCCATAATTTTGTTGAGATATTCAGCTGGAAAATTAGCATGCGAAGCCGCAAAGTTTGTCTTAACTTATTCATTATTGGTCTTAGGCAATGATTAAAAGGGAAAGTTAAGAGGAGCTACTCCACGGAAAAAGGAAGAAGGGGGTAGTTGAAATTTTGCTAACGAAGTAACCATGACTTGTGGATAACTTCACAATTAAATTTGCTCAAACCACACTTTTTCCACTATTTTATATATATATATATATAAGTATATAGATAATGAAAATATATATTTTTATATTTTTATATTTTAAATCTGTAACAATAGTTTAAAAGAAGATAGAAAAAAATGAAATTAAAAAAAATACATACTATGAATTAGTATCTCGCTCCTTTTAACTATTGTTATTTTTACTAGAAATAGATTCGCAGGTTAAATTTTTTAAACGATTTGCATAATAAATTTAATAAAATTGAGTATAATTTTGTTTATAATTTTTTAATAAAAACAATAATCAATGAAAATTTATAAATTAATTTGTATATAATTTAGTCATTTCATTCTCATATCTTATATATAAAATTCAAATCCACACTTTTAAATTTATTTTTTCAAATATAGTTAATAACTATTAAAATAAATAACTAAAACAAGATAACATTAAAAAAGGAAAAAAAAAAGGAAATGAACAGAGTAAAATGAAAAAAAGAGAGCTAAATTAGAATATAACGTAGTAGACACAAACACGTAAGGATGATAATGTGTCAAGTCAAAACCATTTTTTTTTTACCTCAAATCTTATTCGATTTTGACTCAAATCTGACGTCGAGTTATTATTTATATATCCCAAGAAAGATCAGAGCAAAGCACCCCAAACCTATCTCCAACTTGGCCTTGTTTTTAAAGAAAAAATGTCACAACCTTGACTCGATCTCGATTTTCAAAAGAAAAAATCACCTCTATCGAATCAAGACAAGTTAAAACTCGTCAAATACATATTGTTTTTTCATCCTTACCTTTAGTAACTTATTTTCTTACAAAATTTATCTAATTAAAAAAATAAAAAAGACAAAATAAAAAAAAAAAAGCAAAATAGGGGTGCTAGGAAAGCATCTCCATTGATGATTTTTCTTTTCAAACATAATTAAAAATAATAAGAAAGAAAATAAGCTAAAACTGAAAAAAAAAAAAAAAAAAAAAGGTTAATGCAAAAAAGAAATCAAATCAAATAGGATCGCCACATGAACAATTTCATTTATAAAAAGCAATAAAGTTAGGTTGAGGTAGATTTAAACTTACCTCGACATTGATCTGACTCTTTAATAATTTTATCAAACTTTGATTTTAACTTGACATAAGTTCCTTTTATGCTTAACTCCAACCCAATACATATATGTGTAACATGCATCCAACCTAATTTGATCCAAAATTAATTCAATAATTTTAATTTAATATAATATATATAAAAAATAATTTTTAATATAAACAACATCTTAATTATATATTAATATAGTATTTTTATTAAATTAAAATATTTAAATAAATTTATTACTATAATATATATGTAAATATAAAATTAATTAAATAATAAAGGATATTTTTATGCATGCTTTAGGATAAAGCACCGGAAACCCACCTCCAACCCTACCATAATTTTCAAAAAGAAAAAATCACATCATCCCAACCATATCTCTCTCTCTCTCTCTCTCTCTCTCTCTCTCTTCTCTCTCTCTCTCTATATATATATATATATATATATATATATATAATTGAATCAAAATGGGTAGAAACTAGTCAAAAATGGATTATTTTATGATTCTTATCTCTATTGACAACTTATTTTTTTTATAAAATTTATCTCATTAAAGAAAAACTAAAAAAAAAAGTGAAGGGCTAAAAAAGAAAAAAAAAAGAATCCAATCAACGTATGACATGACAAATTTATTGGTCATATATTTTTATAAAATTTAATTATAGATTTTAAAAAAATACAAAAACTAAAACAAGTTGAAAAAACCAAATCCAAGTGCCACACTGACACCTCCATTAGTATTTTTTTTTCTTTCAAAATAATCTAATTTAGAAAAAAAAAAGAAAATAATGGAAAAATTTTTAATCAATAATATCAAATGAACCTCATATAAAATTTTTTAAAATTTCAAACATAATTAAGAAATATTAAAAATAAATAATAAAAATACAAAAAAAATGTTAAAATTAAAAACAAAAAAAGAAACAAAAATTTTTAATCAATAAAATCAAATGGACCAACTTTAAAATTAAAAAAAATAAAAATACATTATTTATTAAATATAGAGACTAAAAAGGAAAAAGATAAGAAAAATAGAAAAAAAAAAAAGAAAGAGAAAGTGATGTGTGGAAGGTCTTAGTGAGGTCAAAATTTACAAAAATTAGTAGTACTAAAAGAATGACCAAGCTTCGCCTGAGTTACAATTTTTTTATGTCGATGAAATATAAATTATATAATTTTTTATTTAATAATAAAAAATAAAAATTTTAGTTTTTTTATTTTAAAAATATAATCTTTTGACAAATGTTCGAATTGTGCCACTTAATCGTAATTAAATAGATATCAACTTTTATTTTAAATAAAAGAGACTACTTTAAAAAAATTATATAAATTAAATCAAAACCTAATAATATATACATGAGTTAAACTTATTTTTTAAGGAAAAACCAATAGTTTTAATATGGTAGGATAGGGCATTATAGTAATTTTATCTAATGGTGGTGGAAAGGCATTTTTGTAATTATGGTTGCAGATTTTTACAATAACTTTGGTCAAATATGGTAAAATAGGTATTTTAGTAATTAAAATGAACATTATAATATTTTAATTAATTGTAAAAAAAAAGAAATTATAATCGATTTGGAAGCATGTTATTCAATTGTCAAGCAATTAAAATGGCATTATGATAATTTTCAAAGAGATCACTTTCATATAATTGTATTAAAATTTAATTCATAATTATGAAATAATAAAAAAGCATTTTCATAATTATAGCAAGAGGGTATTATAGTAGTTTTTAGTAAAGTATAATATAAAGGGTATTTTTGCAATTATGGTATGAGGGGTATTATAATAATTTTGGCAAATGATGGTAGAAGGGCATTTTCATAATTATGATAAGAGGGTATCATATTAACTTTGACTAATTATGGTAATAGGGGCTTTTAGGAAATATTTTAAAAAGGGCATTATTGTCATTTTAGTTAATCATAGGAAAAGAGGCATTACAATAAATTTAAATGCATGTAATTCAATTGATAAATAATTAAAATGGCATAATGATTATTTTTAAAGAGATTAATTTCATATTATTGTATGAATGTTAAAATTTAATATGTAGTTATGAAATAATTAAAAGGATATTTTTGTAATAATGCTTAAAGGGTGTTATAGTAATTTTAGACAATTATAATATGAGAAATATTTTTGTTATTATGATAAGAGAGGCATTGTATGAAGCAATCAAAAGAGTAATTTTTGTAATTATGGTTAGAAAGTATCATAGTAATTTTAACAAATTATAATATGAGGGGCATTTTCATAATTATGGTAAGAGGGCATTTTCATAACTATGCATTTTCATAACTATGGTTAGATGGTATTATAGTGTTTTTAACAAATTATAATATGATGGATATTTTTTGATTATGGTAGGAGGGCATTTTTATAATTATAATTGTAGGGCATTGTAGTAACTTTAGCCAACTATGGTAAGAGGGGTATTTCAATAATTATGTTAAAAGATGCATTATAATAATTTGAGTTAATCATTGAAAGAAAGGCATCATAGTTAATTCGGATGCATGTAAATCAATTATCAAGTAATTTAAAAGGCATTATGATCATTTATAAAAAAATTAATTTCATATTATTATATATATGTTAAAATTTAATGCGTAATTATGAAACAATCAAAAAGACATTTTCATAATTATGCTTAAAA